GGCTTGGCACGTCACAGACACCAGATACTGTTCACGTAGAAATAGGCTGCTTCATCAGCCTAAAGGGTTTTCTTGCTGGAATGGAACCAGACAGGGGAAATTGTTTCTCCAAACCTAATGTGTGTTTATAAAAAGCATGTCACAAAGGGATCATAAAAAATCAGAGACCAGACTCTTTTTCTGTTTTTCCAGGCTTCAAGAAAATGTAACCTTCTTATGGGAAGAGGAAATCAAATTAACCTTGATAAAGAGAAGGGTAGTACAAGAAGAGATGCTCCTATGTCAACACTAAAGAACAGTCTGTACAGAACAACTTTTTAGTGGGGCTGATTTTGGGGTACTATTCCCCCACCCCAATGTAACGACATCTATTTATGACTCAGTTCTGAAATTAGTTAAAATTAATTTTCGTTTGAGTAAGTCAATATTCAGTCAGTAAACATTAATGGTCTACTAGACGCCAACTTCTGTGCTAAGTGCTAGGGGTATAAAAAAATGCAAAAGACAGTCTCTGTTCCCAAGGAATTCAGTCTAATGGGAGAGACAGTAAGCAAGTAACTATGTACAAACAAGCTATGTACACACAGGATAAATTGGAAATTATCCACAGAGGGGCAGCTAGGTGGCGCAGTGGATAGAGCACCAGCCCTGAATTCAGGAGTTCAAATCTGGCCTCAGACAGATAACACTTACTAGCTGTGTGACCCTGGGCAAGTCACTTAACCCCATTGCCTAGCCCCCCAAAAAAGAAATTATCAACAGAGGGAAGGCACTAGGATGAAGAACGATCAGGAAAGGCTTCCCATAGAAGGAGGGATGTAGCATAACAGGCCTAAAGGACAGCCTGAGAAAATCTCTGGAATTGAGAGATGGAGTGTTCAAACTTCTTGACATTTGTTGGGGACAAATGGAGACATTCTAGGCAGTCAAGGCATTATGAAGTTTCTGACTTGAAAATTTCTGACTTAAAAAAGACAAATTTAAACAGATTTAGATGTATGTGTCTGAGTATTTGATCTGGCTAATGTTCAGGAACGAAGAGCAAATTAGTCCACGATGGTTGTATTGATGCAACATTCTCAATATCATTATTGTTTTAAAAATGGTTGCCCTGCAGAGACCTAAAAGGTCAAAAAGGAGTTAAAAATGCAGCATAACAAATGAATTTGGCCAAAAAAAAAAGAGAAAGAAAGAAACCAAATCATAATTTCCAACCTTACTAGGGCTCAATAGATTCCATTTTAGTGAACTAGTAAAACCTAATGAAGAAAGATGCCGGCAATTAAAAAATAAATCATTACAGGGTGAATGTGTATCAACATATGCACATTTTACTAACTTAGCATGTACTGATATGAGAAGTAGGATGCTAATAGTGAAGACAGTGTAGGCCTTGGAGTAAGACTTCAACGATTCAATTTAGTAAGCATTTATTAAGCACCTACTGTATGCCAAGAATAAATTTAGGCGATGAGGACACAAAGGCAAAAACAAAATAGATCCTGTTCTCAAGAAGCTTACATTTCATGGGGGTGGGGGAAGAGGATGTGTTTAAGAAAAACTTAATATAAACTCTATATGAATACAAAGCAACTGGGTGGGAAGCATATGGAAATCAGACCTCTTGCAGAAGGCAGAAATGGAGTTCAACCTCAAAGAAAGAGATTCTAAGAAGTGGAGGTGAGGAAGTAGGGCCTCCCAGGCATGGGAGACAACCAGCCTGGGCAAAGGTGTGAGGTGGGAATTGCAGGGACACAGGGAATTCAAGCATGCCAGTCTGGCTGGAAAACAGAATGTATGTGTGTGTGTATGTGTGTGTGTGTGTGTGTGTGTATGTGTGTGAGACACTAAAGTGCAATAAGCCAGTCAATAAGTATTTATTAAGTGTCTACTATGTCAGGGAAAGAAAGGCTGGAGTCAGGATGTGAAGAACATCAAATGCCTAGCAGAACATGGCGGCAGCAAGAAACTGAAAACCAACCGGTGGGCCATTGGAATGGTTGAAAGAAAAAATCATTGTCTATGAATGGAATAGAACATTACTGTGCAGTAAGAAATGACAAATATGAGGAATTCAGAGAAATATGGGAACATTTCTATCAGTTGATACTGAAATAAGGAAAACCAACAGAATAATATGCAAAATGACTACAGGTAAGTTAGTTGTTTTTGTGAAAAATCACTATAGGTAAGTTACACTTTGAGAAAATGAAAAACTGATAAATGTCCTGGAACACAGATAATGAAACATGCCTCCCCTTGTCACAGCAGAGAGGTGGAAGTGACTAGGCTAGAAGAACAGACCATTATCTACACTGTCAGATGCAGTTTTTTAAAAAAATTTTATTAATTTATTTTGATTTATCAGCAATCACTTCCATATGCTTTTGAGTTGAAAATTTTTCTCCCCTTTCTTCCCCATCACCCTCCCCAAGTTTGGCGCACAATCTGTATAGGCCATACATTTACATTCCTATTAAACATATTTTCACATTAGTGATGTTGTAAGTAAAAATTAAAACCAATACGAGGAACCATCAGAAAGAGGAAACAAAACTCAACAGAAGAGAAAAATAAATGATAGTGATTCAACTTCCATAGTTCTTTCTTCGGATGTGGACAGCATTTTCCATCCCGAGGCCTCTGCAGATGTCTTAGATCCTCGTAATGCTGAGAAGGGTTCAGTTTAACAATCTTAGTCATTGCATAACGTGGCTGTTACTGTGTACAAAGTCTTCTTGGTTCTGCTCACTTCACTCAGCATCAGACCATACAAGTCTTTCCAGGTTTTTCTGAAGTCAGCCTGTTCATCATTTCTTATAGCACAATAGTATTCCACTACATTCATATACCACAACTTGCTCAGCCATTCCCCAATTGATGGGCATCCTCTCAATTTCCAATTCTTTGCCACCACAAAAAGAGCTGCTATGAATATTTTTGTACATGTGGGTCCTTTTCCCATTTGCATGATCTCTTTGGGATATAGCCCTAGAAGTGCTATTGCTGGGTCAAAGGGTATGCACATTTTTGTAGCCCTTTGGGCATAGTTCCAAATTGCTCTCCAAAATGATTGGATCATTTCACAACTCCACCAACAATGCATTAGTGTTCCTATTTTCCCACATCTTCTCCAACATTTATCATTTTCCTGTTTTGTCATGTTGGTCAATCTGATAGGTGTGATGTGGTATTTCAGAATTGTTTTGATTTGCATTTCTCTAATCAATGATGATTTAGAGCATTTTTTCATATGACTATCGATGGCTTTAATTTCTTCCAGATGCAGTTTTTCTTTGTCACACAGGGATAAATTTGGGTGATGGAACGGTATTGAAATGATTGTGATATAAAGACAGAAGGCATAAACAAAAATGTAAAAGACAGGTAGGTGGCACAATGGGTAGACACAGACCTGGCGTGAGGAAGACCTGACTTAACATACAGCTTCAGACACTGCCTGGCTATTAATCCTTTGCAAGTCTTTGCATCTTTGTCTGCCTCAGTTTCTTTATCTGTAAAATGGGGAGGACAATAGTACCTACCTCCTAGGGTTGTTGTGAGGCTCAAATGAGATAACTGAAAAGAACTTTTCAAACTTAAAACGCTATTAATCAATTAATAAACATTCGTTAAGGACCTACTGTGTACCAGACACTGGGCTAAACTCTGGGGATATAAAAGGAGGCAAAAGACAGGCCCTGTCCTCAGAGAGTTTACAGTCGAGACGTGTGAACAGATATATACAAAGCAAGCCACATACAGGATAAACAGAAAATAATTAAATTAGTATTAAGGAGGGTTGGGGAAGACTTCCTGCAGAAGATGATTTTAGTTGGGACTTAAAGAGAACCAGGGAGGGTCAGTAGCTGGAGTGGAGGAGGGAGAACATTCCAGGCATGAGGGTTGTTGTTGTTGTTCAGTTTTTTAATGAGTCCTGTCCAACTTCTCCATGATTTTTTGGGCAAAGATATTAGAGTGCTTATGTAAATGTTAGTTATGACGATGATGATGATGATGATGATGATGATGATAACTACCACCATCACCACGAAGTGCTTCCCTTTACCTATTTTACATAAGCCACTGGATGATGTTTATGAATGTATTCATAATCCATAATGGTTTATGACTTTGCCTGATCATCTGCTTACCATTTCAGCTCAATAAAATCAGCCTATATTCAATTCATTCCAACACAACCAGAATTAATTATCTACTATATACAAGGCAGTGTGTTAAGTCATTAGACTGTAAGCTCCTTGAGGGCAGGGTCTGTCTTTTGTCTCTTTTATAAACCCCTAGCAATCAGCACAGTACCTGGCACACAGTGATGATTAACAAATGTTTATTGCTTCATTGAATGCTTACTGAGGGATACAAAGCACAAGAAGAAAAGAGTCCCAGGATCATCACTTTAGAGCTGAATGGAACCTCAAAGGCTATTTAGTCCAACTGTAAGGTCCTGCTTTTAAGGAGCTCACATTTTATGGACTTAGTCATTTGTATTAATTAGGACTTAGCAGTAGAATTTCTCTGTTTTCTTCCTTTTGAAAATGAAGGTAGAAACTTGAAAAACAAGGTAGAAATTATACTATCTTTGGAGGAAAAAAGACAAACTACAATTTAGTTTTCAAAGTGTTTCTTCTGTGCGCATGAAAAAAAATATAGGAGGGGCAGCTAGGTGGATAGAGTAGTGGCCCTGCAGTCAGGAGGACCTGAGTTCAAGTCCTGCCTCAGACACATAACACTCACTAGCTGTGTGACTCTGGGCAAGTTACTTAACTCTGACTGCGTCACAACACACACACACCCACACCCACCCACACACACACACACACACACACACACACACCACACACACACACACACACGAAAAGATCAACCTTATCTTGTTCCTAAAGGGAACAATGCAAAATAAACAGGTACATGGGAAAAGAGAAACTGTGTTTCCAAAATTCCACAAGGTCAAAGATCCCTTCAGTGATGTCTGGCTGTACCTGGCAGTTTCAATTCTTCCAATTCAATCACTGAACGCTTGATGCTCAACTGATCCATCACCAGCTTCTGCAGGTCTTCTGGGACGCCTGGCTTTGGTTCTGATTTTGCAAGAAGGTCAGAAATTTTCTTCTAAGGTTTGGAAAGAAAGAAGAGGAGGAAGGTGAAGGTTAAGAATGTATTTGACCTCTGATGGGTTGACTTTAAATAGCATTTAACTGCCCAGTGAGAGGAATGAATGTCTCCAGTGAGAACTCAAATTTGAATGTGAACCCAAATAAACACATTTGAAAAAAATAACTTAAATATTTCTTGGTATAACTAAGTACTTCAAAGAATGAAGGGCTGATCCCTAAGGCCCTGTTTGGCTCTGAGTTCTATGTCTCCTATGAGAACTTAGGTTCTTGTGACTTAACATGACACTATTTTAGTTTAGATAAAGATAGATAATGCTTCTTGGCAAACATGGGATGCTATCATAAAGTGTCGAGACCCTCATTTCTCTTGGTTCTACTTTTTTATGCTTCTGTGGTTATGCAATTATTTACTGGAAGGGCTACTCTGAGAGAATTCTTGTATAGACTTGGGAAGTCCCATGTGCCCAGTTGTTTTTTCTGGGAGAAGGGTAAAACTGAGAGAAGTGAGAACACACTTAGCAAAATTTTAGAAGACAGCATCCTAGCATAGGAAACCTGCAAAGAACAGCAAGGATAGGAAACCTATCCTCTTCAATCCATTTAGACATACAAGGCTCCTCTTTTCTCATTCCTTTTTAATTATTTTACCAAGGACTAATCAGATGGGGCCATCTTTGGCTGTTTCCTATTCTTTTCTGTCCCATATTATTCTCATTTCCTTGCTCTAGCCCAAAATGGTCAAGATCCCTGCCAAAAGTATCAAATGTTAAAAAACTGTGTCATCAGTGGGCACATTTTGAGTTGACCTCAGCCAGAATTATCTAACTACAGCCCTGACCTTGAGCACTCAAGGGTTTGCCATTTCAAAAGGCTATTGCTATATGAACTACTAGAAAAAGAGCAGAACTCATTTCTTTCTAGGTGTGCCAAGTCTCAATTAGCCTGGCATATCATTCCATCTTCCTATCTGGGCCCCTTGTGAGGAAAGAAAACATATGCACATATACACAGAGTTTTCTAAAAGCCCACTGTTAAGTAACTGGTTTGAATCCATCTTCTTTCCTTTAGACCCAAATGCGTTTTCCCCTGCTTGACTTCAGTAAAACTTTTATTTTTTGTTTTTTGGCAGGCAGAAAATTCTGCTGCTGTTTTCTTCGGAATGGGAAGGTCGATGTTCACCATTATATTTCCAAAGCTGAATTATATGGAGGAATTTATAGTGACATCAGTCTTTCGAATATAAATCCTCCGTTTGGCATTTAAGGGCTTTCATAATCTGGCCCTCTCCTACCTCTTCAGTCTTCTTATACCTTAGTCTGGGACCCAGGGACACTGGCCTCCTTGCTGTTTCTTGCTTGAGACACTTGGTCTACCAACTCAGTCAATTTTCACTGGCTCTCTTTCCTCACCTCTACCTCCCCACATCCCTGATTTCCTTTGGGTCCCAGCAAAATCCCACCTTCTAAATCTTTCCTGATCTCTCCTCATACTAGTTCCTTCCCTTTGTTGATTATTTCCATTTGTTTGTATATTGCTTGTTCATACCTAGTTACTTGCTTATTATCTAGACTGTTAGACTATGAATTCTCTAAGGTCAGAGACTGTCTTTTGCTTTCTTAGCCTTTAGCACAATACGTGGGACACAGTAAGCACTGAATAAATGCTTGTTGACTTGACTTTGCCTTCTAAATGTTCAGAATGACAAGTACTAACCTGGCTTTCAACTATGTTAGGAGGGAGCCTGAGGGACTCTCCACACAAATACCTTGGCTGAAGTGAATCAAGGTTATTTTTAGGCTGCCACTGACAGCTTTAAAGGGAACTGTTTTGAGGTATAGTACACTAAGTATGGGGAAGGGTCATCAAGGGAAGATGGATCTTATTCTTTGGAACCTGGGAAACTTTGGAAGATTATTGACTTACATACATGGGATGGTTTAGCTATACCCTCTCCACAGCCAAGGGCTGGACACTAGATGACCTCTGGGGGCCCCTTTTAATCCAAGGACTCTGTGACTAGCTCTTAAGTGGAAAGGCAATATTAGTTGGCAAGAGAACTCTTAACGGTTGCTTAGTTAAATGTAAGCAATACCTTTCGTCTCTTCTTGGTCTTGGGGGCCTCTTTATCCTTTTCTTTTGCTGGCAACAGGAAACATTCTTTGGGCTGTAAAGCAAACCAGATAAAAGCATCTCAATTTTGAGTGAAGGTTGGGAAAATGATAATGCTCCTAGAGTATCTTTTATCATACATTTTTCAAAGTGTCATGGTAGAACTCTAAAAATGGAGAGGGTATTTATAAAGCAATAATAATGTACTATTATGCAGAAGTTAGGTAGAAGGAACACACAATAAGTAATTATAGCTGAGATGGAATGGGATGAATTTACCTATAAAATGGAAATGAAATTAATAGCAGGTTAAAAATTTAAATTCAGCAATATGTTGCTTTCAGGAAATGCTATAAAAATGAGAGATATATACAAAGATAAAATAACGGTCAGGAGCAGAATTCATTATGTAAAAAAAGCAGGAGTAGTAATCATGATCTCAGACAAAGTTAAAGCTAAAATAGATTTAATCAAAAAATAAAAATAGGGAAACTATATTATACATCACCAATGTTATCCAATATTGTTTCAGATCATTTAAAATAACTAGACAGTATAAAATACCCAGGAGTATACTCGCCAAAACAGACACAGAAACCATACAAACATAAACATAAAACACTTTTATACAAATAAAGTAAATCTAAATAATTGAAGTAATATTTATTGTTCATGGGAAAGTAAAGCCAATATAATTTTTAAAATGACAACTTTACCTAACTAATCTATTTATGTAATACTACCCCAAATAAATTACTAAAGATTCTCTTACTGAGTTAGAAAAAAATAATAAGAAAGTTCATTTGGAAGAACAGAAGGTCAGAAACTTCAAAGAAATCAGGGGGAAAAGATGTAAAGGAAGTGAATTCGGTAGTATCAGAACTTTGAGAGCATTGTTGAAATGTAAAATGAGTAATTTTGATTATTTTCAATTAAATTTTTCTTGTATAAATAAAACTTATGCAGTCAAGAACAGAAGGAACACAGAAAACGTGTGGGAAAAAGCTTTCATAGACAGTCTCTCAGATAGGATGTGATTGGGCTAGAATATTGCTGTGGTGTAGGAAATGATAAGCTGGCTGATTTAGAAACACAGGGAAAGACTCGGACTTAGGAAAGAAGATACTATGCACCTCCAGAGAAACAGATGACAAGTAGGAATAAGCACAGTGTATATATGTGTATATTTATCTATCTATTATCAACATCTAGGCTTAATTGTAGCCTTCTTTAAGGTGGGGGGAAGGGGAAAAAAAGTAAAAAGCACACAGCAGAAAACAAAAAAAAAATCTACAAGGAAGCAAAGAAAAGCTGGGCAGCTTTGAAAATAATGTGTAGTAGTTATTATATAGGTTTTCTTAAAATGGAAATTTATTGTTTTATATTCCATCCTTCTTTTGTTCTGCTGTGTGTACATGGCAGTGGTTATTTTTTCTTTTCTTATTTTGCATTTAAGTTTAAAATAAAAAAGGAAAAAAGAGGAAGGAAAAAAAAATGAGGCTTAGGAAAAAAAAGTTAGATGGAACTTGGGAAAAAAAATTTGAAAATGCTTTAGGGCTGGGATAGTGACTGGTATTTATCAGAACACCTGAAAGTTTGCAAGGAGGCAGTTAAATGGTGCATTGCATAGGGTGCAAGGCCTGGAGTCAGGAAGACTCATCTTCCTGAGTTCAAATCTGGCCTCAGACCCTTATTAGCTGTGTGACCCTGGGAAAGTCACTTAATCTTGTTTGCCTCAGTTTCCTTATCTGTCAAATGAGCTAGAAAAGGAAATGGCAAACCACTCCAGTATCTCTGCCAAGAAAATTCGAAATGGGGTCATGAAGAGTCAGATGTAACTGAACAGTAAAAGTCTGCAAAAACACTTTACATGCATGCCTTATAAGAGCCCTGTGAAGTAGTTAGTACAGACAGCATATTATTTGCATCTTACAGAGAAGAGATCAACAGACTTACCTATGAGCAATAACTCATAAATGTCAGAAGCAGGATTTGAACCCATATCTTCCACAATCCAAGTCACTAGTCTATCCATTACACCATTCAACCATTCCCCTTCAGTCTTTTTGCTACAAAGCCAGAGAAACTAAGAACTGATATTCCTAAAGCAGAGGTCTGAACATGTTATGTACCTACTCAAAAAGTCCCAAAACTTCCTTGTTGCCTCTAGAATAAAATCCAAACACCTCTGGCTTCATGAATGGGTTCTGGCTTATTGATCATTGCCCTCCTTCTCACACTTTGTTCCAGCCAGAGGGGCCTGCTTGGAGTTCCCTTCAAATGACACCTCCTATCCCTGTGCTTTTGTATATAGGAGCCCTCCTCACCTCCACCTCTTACAATTCCTAACCTCCTTCAAGGCTCACAGTCAAGTGTCACCTTCTGCAAAAGGTCTATGCTAATCTGCCAGATGTTGGATCACTTTCTTTTGCTTTTGTATCACACCGTCCAACACAGTGCCTGGCACTTAGTACCCTTAAAAAATGCTTCCTGGATGAAGGAATGAACAAATGCCTACCTGCAGGATCCAATGGAAAGATTAAAGGATCAGATATTTATAACCGTAAGAAATAACAAGAGCAATAATGAAAACGGCAAACATTAACATAGCACTTTAAGCTTTCTGAAGCATTTTTATACATATCTTTCATCTGATCCTCACAACAATCCTGTAAAGTTACTGCCATTGTTATGTTTCTTTTACAGAGAAGGAAACTGAGGCTGAAAGGTGAAATGACTTGCCCATAGACACACAGCTAATAAATGTCTGATTCAAACTCAAGTCTTCTGGAGCCCAGGTTCAATTCTCTATCCATTGTACCATGTAGACCATCCAGGACAACCTCAAATTTTAAAGATAAGGAAACTGAGACCAAGAGAAGTGAAATGATTTGCCCAAGGTGGCATAGATAGTAAGGAATAGGAAGCCAGGGTTTAAAGCCAAGGTTTCTCACTTAAAATCCAATGTTGGAAATAGATCAATCAATTAATTAAACATTAATTAAGCACCTACTGGATAATTAAGAAACAGAAGACAGTAGCTTATAATATAATAATAAATCCAAGAACATTGAGTAGATGACTCCCTTTTTGACAAAGAACTGCCAGGAAAACTGGAAAGAAGTTTGGCAGAAATCAGGATCAGACCACATTCTGTTATTGTTTAGTCATTTCAGTCATGCCCGACTTTTTGTGACCTCATTTGGGGTTTTCTTGGCAAAGATGTTGGAGTGGTTTGCCATTTCCTTCTCCAGCTCATTTTACAGATGAGAAAACTGAGGCAAACAGAATTAAGTGACTTGCACAATAAGGGTCTAAGGTTGACTTTGAACCCAGGAAGATGAGGCTTTGTGACTCCAGGCCCAGCACCCTATCCATTGTGCCACCTACCCACTCATCAGATCACATAGCACAATACAAAAGGTCATACCATAAAAAAGAAGACAACAAAATCAGGTACCTTTAATGTCTATAGCTAAGAGGAGAATTCTTCACTAAACTAGCAGGTAGAGGAGATTATGAAAGATAAAACAGCTTTTACTACACAAAATTAAAATGTTTTGCATGAATAAAAGCAGAGAAGATTGAATTAGAAGTAAATTCAAAGACTGAGAAAAATACCTCTAACACCAATGATAAAAGATTAAGATGAAAAATAAACAGAACTGACAAAAACACATAATATCAAAAGCCATTCTGAAATAGAAATAAATAGAAATAATAAAGTATATGAGAAGAGTTTTGGGGAAAAAAGATTTGCAAATTATTAAAACTTATATTATTTATTTATATTATTTTATTAACTATTAAGAACACATTTCAAATCACTTATATATTCATCAATCAAATCACTTACAATACAATAACAACAACATTACTACAAATTAAAACAACTTTGAAGATTTCCCCTTATTCTACATCAATTGGCAAAGATGAAAAAGAAGGAAATAATCAAGGTTGGACAGGCTGTGGAAAGACACACCAGTGTATGGCTGGTACGGATGTGAAACAGTACAACTATTCTAGATTTCAATTTGGAATTATGCAAGAAAGCTGGCTAAATTTCAAATAGATACACAGTACAAGGAAGTCCAAGACAGACACAAAGGTCTGATAAAGGTGGCAAATTACTGCTGAGCGTACAAATCTGATGGACTGACCATGTGGTTCCAATGCCAAATGTACATTTGCCTAATAGACTTTTATGGAGAATTCATATAAGGCAAGTACGCACACAGAGGTCAGAAGAAGAATTATAAGGACACTCTCAAGGTGCGAGGCATGGGAGTTACTGGCATAGGACTGTCCATCACGGCATGCCTGCATCAAAGAAAGCACTGTGCTCTATGAACAAAACAGAACTGCAGTAGTCCAAAAGAAATGTTAGATAAGCAAATTCAGACACCTCCTTTCCAAATGTTTGTATGGACTATTTGTGCCCAACCTGGGGTAGATCCTTCTAAGCTCATATTGGCCTGGTCAATCACAGTCAGCCACACTGTACGTTGACCCCAAGATAATGATGTAATTTTTGTCCTCTTCGACTAGGAAGGACAACAGCCAATCAACCAGCAAATAACTGAAAACAAAGTGGGTACCAGCTGATTAGTGAGTGGCTGTAAAAATGTTACATGAACATAATGGAGTATTATTATGCAGTAAGAAATTATGGATATGAGGAATTCAGAGAAAAGTGGGAAGACTGCATGAACTGATAATGAATAAAATACACAACGATGACAACAATGAATGTACTGGAAATATCAATGAAGGTCCTTGAAAAGAGGAAATGAAACATCTCCTCATGCCTCACAGCAGAGAGGGGATCACTAGGAAAAAACAGTATATGTAACATCTGACAAGTTTTGTTTATCAGATGTTTTTGCCTGTTTTTCTTTGTAACAAGGGAGGGTTCAACCTGGGGGAGAGGAATGAGGAAAGATAACTATGTAAATGCAAACAGTATTTAAAAACATATTTAAAAAAATCCAACGCTGAAATCTTTGGGTATAGCTTAAAGGGTTAAAAAAATACTGTAAAGACCTCAGCCATGTC